GACTGACAGAGCACAAAAAACATGTGCAATATGCAGCAATGAGAACTGAATTGTACTTTGGCTGAAAGGGCAATCTGAGGAGGGGAGAGCGAGAGTGAGTGAGAGAAGTGGGCACGCATTGTATATCCAAAGCGTTTTACATGGATCCGATGAAAATGCCCAAAACAACTGAATAAACTTGACAATTTTCATGTTCGAATTGATCATCATTGCACTCTCATCTCATGCACTGGCTATTGATAAAATCATGCATAACAATGATTGTTGTTGTTGTTCTGTTGTTACCGTTGTCATCGCATGCATACGCACACACAGAGTGTGAGCGAGGACGAAGAGTGCAGTTTCACAAACCCCAACAATGCACACACAATTCACTCGAGAGTCAATTGCTTTTACATTTAATATTGTGATGATTTATTGATAAAACTTGAAATTGAATGGTGCTCAATGTGTGAATATGGTATTTGAGTGCAAGAGAGAGAGAGAGTTTATGTGCATGTTCGGAAAGTATATATGGTCTCACGATGCATGCATGGACGAGCCAATGCATAAGAATGCGTATTGCTCTTTTTATTTGCACCTAACTCACAGACCGACACGAAATACCTCGGTCTCTATCGCTTTCGTTCGTTCGTCGGCGGCAGTGGTGGCGGTGGTTTCGGCATCGAAATTGATGTGTGGTGCGTTGCATTGCATTGTTTGGCCACGGATAATTATTGCATATTGAAGCAGAGCAATCCAATCAACTGATAACATTGATTAAACCATGAAAACATATTTTTCCACGCAAACAAAAACTGACTGAGTGAGTGAGTTCGGGCCTACGTATAACAAATGGCTTTGACGCAATGAAACGATGCACTTTGGCGGTGAACACAGGGATTCTTTTCGAAACTGCATTTCGGCCAGATGCAGCAACATATACACAGTCAATTTCTCACTTTCGGTTCACAGAGAGACTGAAAAACTGGTAGACGATTCGATTCGTGGTCTCTGATTTGGAATCGCTGAGATTTTTGCGTGGCTGAAATGCCAAGCATTTGAAATTTTTGATGGTGTGACGATGACGTTCAACATTTTAACATTTTCCATTGAAAAGCGAATTCCATTCGAAGGAGAACCATTTCTAATAACCAGTTTTCATTGTCTTTTCAGCCAGCGCACCGCATTTCTCATTTCTCTCACACTCAACCCGTGATTTTGTCTTCTGTCGACGCAATGATTTGTCGAATTTTTACATTTGAACTGTGCGAAGCCCTCTCCTAGTGTTCTCAACTCGAGAGAGAATCGAAAAATACCACAAATATTTACCCCATTGTGCAATGCAAAACGACATCGAAGCAAGATAAGAAAAAGACATATTGAAAGATCGTGAGTCGGCACATTTCGCATGTTCAACGGTGACGACGGCAACGACAACCGTTTGCATATTTCAACAACAATGATATGAAATCATGAAAATATCCTCATAAATATTACACAAGAATTACGAGCTCGTTTAAAAGTAATTTCATTCATTCGAAAACATGAAATTCACATTTACGACCAAGCAGCAACCGTAGCAGCAACCGAACCCGAAAAATGGACTAATTCAATATTTGCTTGTTGATTTCGAATTCGGCAATGGAAGCAAACGCACCGAACAACAGCCGGACTTTTGATGTCATGTAACATATTTAAAAATGATTGCAATGCCAGATAAATGACACTCGTTTTCGGTGGAATGGCGAATCGAAATTGATGGTGTCGCAGTAGTTTTTCTCTCTGTGTGTGTATGATGGCCGTGCTCTTTGTTACCATCCACATCGATGTGTCTTTGTCGTTGTATTTTGTGGCATTTTCCAATTTATTCAAACATGACTTATGCAATCGACGGGCCCCGGGATGAGCAGAGTGAAAGACGAGAAATTTTTTTTTTTGTGTGTTGTCATCGTTTATTGTTTATCGTATCATATTTTAAATTATTTCCAATGAATGTGACGCAATGAGAGAGTCGAAAAAAAGACAACAGCAACAATAAGCAGCCCTGCCAATGATAACGTGTATCTCTGTTTTACTTCATTTCGTTTTTCTTTTCGTCGTCGTCCTCGCCGCATCTCTTCTTTTCCATCGACATCGACAATCAGCATTTTTGCTCGGTGCGCTCGAGAGAGTGTCGAGGAGAAACAGTAGAGCAAAAATCAATAACGGTAATGTCAGCATCTGCCTTTATGCCCCCGAGAGAAAGAGAAAGAGTGAATGTGTGAATTCGATATAATGTCTGCCTGTGTGTGGTGGCTCATTTATGGCACACTCTTCTTCGTTCATCGACATATTATTATCATGAACGTGTTTGCCTAAACGGAACACACACTCTCTCTCTCTCTCCTCTCGTTTGCCTCGGCGATAATTCTATTCTAGCGAATATATATTACATTTCAATTTTCCATTTTTTTTTGCTCGATGAATTAAAAATGCCTTTCTTTCTCTTTCGCACCACTCTCACCGGTATCAACCAGAATGCGACTTATCGCTTTTGTTGGCATAATAAAATAATAACATCTGATGACTTAAAAATTTTTTTTTTATAAAATTACGCACTTTCGTCATCATCATCGTCGTCGTCATCGATATAAATATGAATATGAATGTGAACAAAAGCGGATCGTAAAAACGTGGCATGCGGCACAATAAGTGTGTGTATTGTATGTGTGTGGTGTGAATGTGTAATTATAGGCTTAAAATCGAATGGAAATGGGTGCTAAAAAAATAAAACCGACTAATCAATCCTTGTCTGTCATCACTCATCATCAAGTCTTCGTTCCTTTTTTTCGGTTCGGTCGCATAAAGTATCAAATAATTTCAGAACGACCCCTCGAAATGGTTCCGTTCTTCTGAATTCGATAACTTGCATGAAATTGCACATACCATTCATTGAATTGGACGGGCAAATGTAACATTTTTTTTATTCTATATCCAATTCAGAGAAAAGGAATGAAAAGCAGTCATTTTACCAAACAAAATCACATTACATTGAACCAAGTGTATCAGTTTTTTCACTCAGCAAACAACGCTGAATTGGATCTGCATAAAATCAAATTCCAAGCATCCGATGGCAATTTATTTGCACGGAAACGAACGAAATGAAACCGGAACCGTGAAAAATGCCATTTTAATGTGATTTAAAATTCAAGTAGGTAAGGCAATTCGAATGCTTATTTATGCGGCGGGTGAGCAACTGTGAAAATGCTTGAAATGATGAGTGCCTGTGCAAAATCGTCTTTATTGTCGTCGAAGTAGTTGTTTGCACACATATTTTCATATCATGGCTGAATGAAATAATGAATGCCATTTTTTAGTCTCAACTTACAGCATTCCCTTTGATACGATAGTCCCTGTGTGCCGATTCCAAACACACAACACTCTAATGGCACAATTGAATTCGTGCCTTGGCATTCAATCACAATGTTTAAATAACAAAAATAATTTGCATTCGTTTGCCATTGTCTGGGGCGATTGTTGTTATTGCTGCTGTCGTCGTCGTCAACATTCAAATGGCAACGTGTGTCTGGCTTCGAGTATTTTTATTACAAATTTGAATCTAATCAAATGAAAACAACCATTCAGTTCCGATGCTTTGTAGCTGTAAATTGGATACACTGTGTATGTTCAAAATTGGTGGCTTCAAGTGGCAACCTGAAATCCATATATCCATTTTTGTCGTTCAATTCTTGGAGTTGTTTGTTTAAAATTAAAGATTATCGAATTGATCGGTATGTTCTTAGGCAGAACAGATCTTTTTAGCACCCTTGAATTATCTTGGTATCGGTTTTGCAAACAAAAGGAAAAATATTTGCAATCGATTTTACGGAATATCCTTCCGATTACTTTTCTTCCTCCCTTTTTTCTCTGTGTGTGTTTTATTCTTACATATTTTCGCTTTGGGAATGAGTTTTATTCAAATGCTCTCTCTTCTTTCTCGGGGGAAAGTGTCTTCGGTCGGTGAATAGCGAGCGGAAAGCAAAGAGATTTATTGGTGTTTTATATGCTTTGTGGTCACTTTATCACTTTGGAATGGTTGCGGGATTACAAAGAAGATAGATAGCCAATTCAAGAACGAATTCCATTCCGGTCGACCCCTTTGATATCTCAATTCATTCGGAAACTGCTCAAATTACCACATAGATTTTTTTTTTGAAGTACAACTAATGCCGATCCGACTTGCCCACATACTCACCCGACATTGTGATAGTGGTGGTGGTAATTGCGGTGACTTCCGTGCATTCGAGTGTTTCATTTCTCGTTCCGTCAATTTCATTTCGAATATAGATATCATAAAAATTGGAATGGACTCACGATTAAGGCGGAAAATGATTTAGCAATCGGGACGAAATGGCCGAGCGAATGCGATTGGGGAAAAATAAAATATTATGGTCAATTTATTCGACACAACGGATTTCGATTGCATTTTTACGTGTTTATTTGTAGTGTTTTTTGATTTATTGACTTTTATTCCGCCATCCGAGTGTATATTTCTTGGTGGCAACAATTATTCCGCTGCATGAAACTAAATGTACACTCATTTGCTACAATTAGTTATGCGTTTTTTTCTCTACATATACATATGTGAGTGATTGCATGTTTATTCGACATTTTCTACGGGAAATGTATTTTCATTCAGGGCCGGATCGATTCCACATCGCTTCAACTCGAAATTTTGACTTGAATGGCAATTTCCGTTTCAGCCAATGAAATTGCACTGAATGTCGATGCGTTTTCCTTTTCAAGGAACAGTATTTTGTGCTGAAAGAATATTAATTTATGCCCGAAGTAAAACCGTTTTACTCAAAGCAGAAACACAATTTTATAATACAGAAATTAATCGCCTACAATTTTGAGCAGGATTTTTTTCTTCCTTTATTTAATTTTCAAACAAAAATTCGCTCACATAAAAAAAAAGTCACAAGAAAAATGAAATTACACGTAAATTAAAATAATATGTAAACTGAAAAACAATTTGCTGTGTTCATTTTTTTTATTCAGCTTGAATCTTGCATAAAAAACAATTTACTTAATACGAAATTGAGTCGAAATTATTTCCCCTTCGGACATTTATGTACATTGTCGCTCAAATGCACGGAATGAAATTAATGTGTTTGAACGACGTTGAACTGGGAAAACGGCTACTGAACAAATTCACTTTGATACCATCTGTTTCGAGTTTTTCCAACGTTTGCCCCAGCCATTCGCATTTCCAATAGTTTTTGCCCAAATTGATTTCCTTCAATTTGGGAAACGCGTAAATCGGATAGAAATCAATGTATTCGAATGCATTATTGTCAAGGTGTAACTTTTCCAATTGTGTTAGGCCGAACGACCAGAGTCGAACGAGAATTTCACGATTTTTCAGATCATTGCCGGATAAAAGGAGGTTTTTGATCACCGATTTTGAGCTGCCCGACATTGATTCGCTTACAAAGATGTTGTCGTTAAGTGATGGGCCATTGTTTTCCATTGAAAGATGCTCCAAAGCCGGAAGACGAACCAGGGCTCGTAGGTAAATATCTGCGATTCGATTGTTGTCCAAGTTCAAATATTGTAAATTACCCAGGCTATAAACTGATCGTCTGAGTGATGTTATGTGATTTGAACGTAGGTCCAGGTATTCCAATTGCATACAGTCTTTGAACATCAAGTTCGATAGTTCCGTGAGTTTGTTGTGCGATAAATCCAATCGTTTCAAATTCGGAAGTTTCAATACACCATCTTCGATGGTTTCAATGTGATTGTTGTTGAGGAGAAGCTCTTCCAAAAGGGGTACATTTTCGAATGTGTGCAACTTAAATCTTTGCAACTGATTTCGATTCAATTTCAGTGTTCGCAAGTTACTCAGACCTTTGAAACCATTTTCGTGAATCGATGTGATTTTATTCCATGACAAATCTAATATTTCCAGTTTGGTAAGTCGATCAAAGACATTGCCTGGTATCACTTTGAGCTGATTGCCAAATGCCAAGCGAATAAGGTTCGATGCTTGTGCAAAATCATCATGGGATATTGTTCCGACTCGGCCTGGCAATGTGAAACTTTTCAACTGCGAAAATTTCTCGAAAATTTCCTTGGGAATGAATGCGATGTCCCATTGATAGCGTGAGGCAGTCGGTAACCAGAAATTCACTTCCTTTATTTCCGAAGCATCGATTTCACTGTTGAAACTCAATGTGTCGTTTGGCGTATACTTGAAGAGAATGCGAATGTAACAGGCGAACGGATCTATTCGGCCGGATAATGGTTCACCCCAGGAACAAGTTGCTGTGATTTGCTTTGGCTGCACCGAACTGCTTGTACAGCACAATATCGCCGCAATAAATGCTCTGGAAAGATGGAAAAATGGTTGAAAGTCACAAAAACGCTCTTAAAATTGATTAATTCATAATTTTAATGTGTCTCAATCGCCAAATCTTTGTCAAAATAACACATTTCATTCCTATTTCACACTTTTTGCAATCCTTTCACCGATTCATTGCTCAAAATCTCAATTTTCCCCTTAAATTCTCCTTTAAAACCTAACATAAAAAAAGACAAACAAAGAACACTCACAATTTCCTCATTATTAACTACAACTGAAATCACTTTCACACGGTTCAACGTTCGCGTAGTGTTTGAATTGTTCGAGACGCTTAGCTCGTCTCAAAAGCAGCGTATGAGCGTAGCGGTTATCGATTCGATGGGTATTTTAACATCGTTGATGACGTTATGCTTTCTAAAAATGCATTTGACCGTTTGAGCCGTGCGTTCACAAATATAGTGCCTTACATTGATAGCGTCCGCTCATTGACGATAAACGGTGACTTGTTTTGAACTTTCGAACCAAAAATTACGAATGTTTGTTAAACAAATCAAAGCGCGTGCATTCCACAGATTTGACACAAAAAAATCGTCGACAATGCTTATCATCATTCCGATAATTGCCCATGACAAATTTGTGTTATGACGAGTGCTGCCTGTTCATTTTGTCTCAATTCGTTGAACAAATCGAAAGCCCGCGTTCGGAAATTCCATTTGATTGTTGTGTTGTTTTGACTTTCACCATAAATAAGGCTAGTTCAAGGAATTTTTGGAATAAAAAAAAGTTGTTTTTCGTCGTCATCGGCGGCAAATGTTTAAATACTTTAATTCCCAAATGTTCAAAAATAAATGTGAGTTCACCTTCTGAATATAATTCGTTTGTTTGCTTAACTTATCGCTGCAGCAGCGCGGCTTGGTGCCCTGCATTTATTGCCATTATTAAGTTTCATGGCACGTTTTATTCCGCCGAATTTTTTTTTCCAACACAGAAAAAATGATAGAAAATGTTATACCAATTTGATTTTAAATGGGTCTTTATGTAAATATAACAATTCGGTGCTTAGTATTGGGAAAAGTACAGAAGCATCTTTGATGATGCGAAGCGCGCGCGGTTTTCGTATTTCGGGCGAAATAAAAATGATAAAGGAAAAGAAAAGAAGTGTAACGAAAGTAAATGTTTAAATTGAGTCGGGCGCGATATTATTCAAATGCACATCGAAGCCGCGGAAAATGATTTGAGCGAAGGGAATCATCAAAAATCGGTTGACGCTGAGGATGTGGAACGAAACGGCCTCTGCCTTCATCAAATATTGGGCTTGTGTACATTTCACTTGTGACGCAAAAAAAAAAGAACTCACATTTCTAATAAGAATAATTTGTCATTTTGCCGGCAGCCAAACACATCGACTTGTGACTTCAACACCCCACATCGACAGCACACGCAAAACAACCATCAACATTCCAGTTCAAACGGCAGCCGATGCCAACTCTTAACATGACACCGGAACGAATGGAGCTAGCGAAACATTGGAGGATTTTTCTCCGACTCTGCGGCTCAGAACAGAAAGAAAAACAAATGATTTTTTCATTGTTCGCTTTCGTTTTTCTTCATTCGGTTCGACAATACATGTATCGAATATGAAAATGTCGTTGGTAAAGTTTGGCGAGGGATCTGCATATTCAAATGTGACATTGTAAGACATGAATTTTTCACCCGCGGTTGATTTCTGTCGTCATGTCGTTGGGTATAGCCTGACTTCTGGTGTCTTTACTCTGCACATTTTTCGTTCTCGTGTCGAAGCCATTGACAAAACAGCGACCAAAGTGGATTTGTAATCGCCAGTTTTTGTTCTACAGTTCGAGCTATCGCACAAAATGTTATTTAAATTGATAATTTGAAATTAATGACAAGCAAGAGCAGAAAAAAGGAGTGAATCTTGATGCGAACGAAATTTTTCTGACAAAAGGACAAAAATGGAATTTTTTAACCAAAGCGTTATCTCTTAATAAGACCTTTTTATACGATAATATAGTATCTACTTATGCGTTTTTCGCTGCGTGTGTCGGTCGGGAACGAATAGAAACGTTGAAGAAAGAGAATACCAAATTCGCCCAAAGACGTTTGAGGCCATTTATAATTCACCGAAAAAAAGAATAACAGAACAAAATACAGAAGAAAAAAAAACATCCAAGCGACAAAAGTGCGGTCCGGCAGAGTATGATGTTCTACCGTCTAGAAAAATTCAAATTATACAAAAATTTATATTACATGCATAAAGCTTTGCGAAGCATTAAAATTGTATTTATCGACACCATCTCATTGTTGTAACATTGTCTTTTTGATCGCGTATAATACAATATACAACGCAGATATCTGAAGAGCGCTGACGATTAACATAGCCGCATAAAAAATGTGGCAAAGGGAAAAAATTAACACGTACAAATAATATATCCCTATGTCGGTTGTGGCTGCTAAATAACATTCCATGTGCCCGATTAACATGTTTTATTCGATGTACCTAAACGGCGGAATGGGCAGCGAAAAAAATATGAATTTAATACTCTCATTGCTCTCTGTGTTGCGGCCAAGATGCATAAGCACAGGCAAAGGCACAGCTACACACATGACCAAGTGTTGAAAAACACATAACCCAATGTGCTCATTTTCTTCTCTCTGATATTTTGTTTTTCATCGAGTGCATTTGGCTTGTTTTTCGTTATTCAAGTGAATCTCTTTGGCGATTCCTTTTTGTCGGTTAATTTGTATATATAATGGACATCATTTTCTCAAATATGAATATTAATTCGCGAATGATTTTTAAATGGTTGTTCAAACAAGATACAAAGACCGGCAAAAAATAATTTATGTAAATTCAAAATGCGGTGTACGATTTTTCAGAGCATTTTTTTCTGTGACCACCGCTGCTGCTGCCAAGCAGCTTTGAAAATTATGTACTCTGCAAATACACTGGATAATTCGACTGGATGATTCGGCGGCGCAAATTATATTTATTTATCGTGAAACTACCAAATTATAAGCGCACAGTGGAATATTCACAATATGAATGTTGTTGCTGTTGTTCACTCACTCTCTCTCTCTGTGTCTCTCTCTCTCACTCTCTCTCGCTCTTCTCGTGTCTATCAAACATGAAGCGACCGATTGAAATATATGGAGCAGACTTTGATGGATACATATGTCGAAAAGTAACCAAACAGTGCTATACGGTAAAGTGTGGGCATCTTTGATTCGTTCCAATGAATTTCCGCCGGTCCGAAAAATGATTCGCACAAGAGATAATCGTCGCAGCTTATGATTAATATGCGTATGAAGGTTACGGACGGTCGAAAGAGATGGGACAACAGACGAGAGGAAGAGAGTATTTGTAAATGTCGATGGACAACAATAAAGTGAACTGTATAATTCATGGCATCAAATCAAAGTTAATCCAATATCAGACGAATTTAGATTATATGGCGAATGAGAGAGGGGGAGGGAAAAAGAAACGCTACTCCATTACTATGGTCCAAAAATGCAATTATGATCCAATTTTTCGGCAATGCTAAATTGACTTTTCCAACTCCAATGGCATCGATACAACACAATCAAAAAATAAACATTTCAACATCGTGCCATATCTATACGTCATTCAAATGCTAGATACTTGGTACGCTTTGAATGTGATTAAATTAGCTGCTAATTTGGTGTACAGTTCATTCGTTCAACCATTCCACTCACTCAATCTCTCACTCTGTGATTTATCCTTTGTGTTTTGTTTGCATCTCAACAAAACGTTTTGTTGAAAACATTTCGAAATTGCCAAAAACGGACATCCGTTCGAGATGAGGCGAGAGGGAGAGCCCGAGTACGAAATAGAGTGGAAAAAGTGGAAAAAATATTTTCTCGTATTCTCAATTAACCATACAGAAAACATGTACACAAGAGCGGTCGATACAATTTATAATAAAAAGCGCTTCATTAATCAAATTACAGCTACAGATTGTGACACTAAAAGAGGAAGATAAATCATTTTGCCTGCCACTGCGATTGTTTTTATAATACGTCACTCTCTCCGTGTGTATTTTTGGTAGCCGTTTGGATTTTTTGCGCGCCGTTTGTTTGGTGTGAGTATGCGCTTTTTTTTCTCGTCATTATCATTTGTACGGCCGTTTCGGATGGCATTGTTGATGCTATATACTGTTGTTGGCCATGAAATTTTAGCGAAGGGTTCAAAAGAATACAAAACAGTGAAGTGGCCAAACGATTCGGGGGATTTTTCTTTTAATTCCATTCATTAGTCGACTCTGTGATTCACACACAATTGGTTGGGCTTCGAATTTGGTGTAACGATTACATAAGCAATATCGTATGCATACGCATGTCATCAATTTGCGTAAGCATATGCGGATGCCTTTAGCTGACCAAATTGATAGGCGATTTAAATTTATTTGCTGCTGCTGCCGTCACTGTCCCAGGGATAAGGAGTGGAAAAGTAATCGGAAAGATGTGAAAAATAAATTTGCAAACGCATTCTAGCATAAATTTTACTATCACTGGGCATTACACTATCATCGTCACGCTGCCACATCGTCCGAACGATAAGTCATTTTGTGAAAAGTCATAATTAAGCCGGTGTCACGTTTGTTGATTATTTCGATTAACTCTATGGATTGTATCATATTACTAGTTAATAATATGTGCGCGCAACAAGAAGCGGACGTCGGCGAGGCACAACGCGCAAGCTGGAAATTTAAAACCCAATTTAAATGAGCTACCGCAAGGGACACACAGGCAGTGAAAGTGAGTGCGAGAGTGAATGAGGTCGAGAGACTGTGAAAGAAAGTGGTGAAAATATTTTTATTATGTCATCAATGCAAACGGTAGCACTCTATCGCAGTACTTGAGCGACTCTTAATGGACATTAATGCCATATGATGATGATAACAAACGGAAATTGAACCGTGTGCACACGGGAACCAAGCACAAAACTAAAATAAATACGACATTATCATTACGGAAGCGCATCTGTGACACACACTCTCATTTGCTCTCCATCTCGTTTCGTTCTTTTGGCATCTGCAACCAAAACCAAACGGATGTTTTTCCACTTTCAGGATTTTTTCCCGAGCTAATTACAGTTATTACGGTTATTGCTGGTTGTGCAGCACATCACATCATCTGATGTCTCAAGTGAATGTGTGTGTGTGTGTGTGCCAATTTTTGGTTTGCTTTGATCATTGCTAAAACTCATAAAAATATTATGATATTCTTTAAATGCTAATGTATTCTTGGCTTGCTTCACCCATCGACATATATGCAAATATTTTAAATGTACCAATTGGTACACCAATTCACTCGGCGGTCCCATTCTATTGGTTGTTTCGATTTTCTCATGTTCATCGTGATGCCGCTGCTAAAAAGGGTCTTTGTCGTCTGTGTTTACCATCTTCAATCCAATTGAAACCATCAATATCATCATTATGAATGCGCCTCTGCGTGGCGCACACACACACCGATCACAGTTTAACTTTTGCTTTTGTCTACCAATGCTCTGTTACATTTTTTATTGTTATCAGCCAATATTGCAGCCAAACTCCATTTCCTACCGCTTATTTCTCAACTTGTCGCCGACTTGAATGCCACAATTTGGTGCACAGTTTTAAGGGTGACTTTTTTCGCTTCTTAGAAAGAAAAAAAGTTACGAGGAAAATGACAATTTGAAATTCATTTTGGTTAGTAACGCACGTGTTGTGGTACGACGATGGTAAATGTCTTTCGCGTGAATATTTACAATGGCAATTACATCAATAATAAAAAAAACGGCTTTTAAAACTCGGCATTGTTCCTTAGCATTTCATTTTATCATCATTGTTCGATTACATCGTTTGTGAAAAATGAAATCAGTCGTTTCGAATTTTATTCGAAATCTATTCAAATTATATCTCTCCCATGTTTCCGATACCAATCATTGCGATGCTTTTATTGTTTTAATGCCACAGGAAACAGCCAATAACCGGTGTTGTTGTTGCCGAACAAATGATCCAATTCAAGGCAATAAATAACATTTATTACAGATGTTTCCGATATAACAGACACTTTTGCCAGTCGAACCATATTTTTTTTGGCAAGTGTTTAGATTTTAATTCGCCTAATGAGTCAAGGTAAATGTGTTCCTTTTATTGCTGCATTAACCCTCAACTGCATAAGCCCGCCTTTTGGCGGGCATCATTTAAACACCTGTATAATGTGAATCGTACGGCGGATGACATTGCTTCAAGGGGAATTTTTATTTGTCAATGTTTTTTCTTTATTTTTGTCTTTGGCGTCATTTGTCTATGTCGTACGATTGGTGAGTTATAAACAAAAATGTGCACGAAAACGAAAATTTGACAAAATAGATTATTCGGTTTCCAAATTAGACATATTTTTGACACTTTTAAACAATGGATTTCATTGTTCTCTGACTTATTTCTATCGCATTTCCTGACTAAACCATGGGAAATCTAGGATTATGAATATTTTTTTCGTTATCTATGGCCAAAAATCAACCAAATGCCAGTACTCCCAGTGCTGGGAAAAATTCATGCAGTTGAGGGTTAAATGGGCCAAAGTGGCGATTTTCCAGTCATTTCCTTGGACCAATCCGTTTCGAATGCTTCTTTTAATCGCTACTAACGATACGATGGCAACATCACCACCCCATGTTTTTTCAAGTACAACCAAATGCATAATTCAATCGATGTTCGCTTCATTAACATTCCCATTTTCCGTTCCAGATGAAACACTCCAACTGGATTCCATTTCGAAATCGATTTCGGCCCAATGTCGAAATGAAAATTTCAAGCAGACACCGACAATTGGACGGGCAAGTTGATTGAATCGAACAATTCAATAATACCGGCATCCGAATTGAATTTTAACAATGTTAACTGGCAAAAAGGAACAGCGCAGACCGAAACAGCAACCAGCCAACCGAATTCATTTTTCTATGATGAGATAGAGAGAATTGGAATGAGTGATTTGGTCAACCGATCGAACGAAATCTATCAAATGTCTAATAGATTGTAAAATGATTTTCTCCGAATATAATTTCCCAATGGCATATGGTTCCGTTTGCCATTTTTATCTTCATTACGATTGAATGCGGATAAAGGATAAAGGAGAGAATGCATACATTGAACACGATACAAGCGATAGCTGTGTGAGCCTGTAATTTTTTGCAGATTTCATACGTGCCACTCTCAATGCTATTTCAACGTAAATTCCATGTTCGGTACAAATTCAAAGCGGTCATCTAGTATCTAAACGGCAATAGAATTCAAACTAAACACACAGACTGTATGACCAAAGGGAGGCATTTCACACTGGCCACCTTACCAAATAGTTTGGAAATGTATTTGCAACCATTCACCCATTCACACTTTCCAATCATTTCACCTATGCAATTTGAAATATTAGATTTAAAATTTATTGCATGAAATAGTTATTATGAATTGTTTACATTTTATCAAAATTTGGAAACGGGGAAGAATCATAAATTTAACTGTGACGGACGGAGGAACGGAAAAATAAAAAAAAATATTTAAAATTGTTTATGAGTCATTTATGAACCTAAATAGTCTTTAAAGTATTTTTTTTATTTCCGAAATCGTTTTTCGTTCACAGTTTTTGATCAATACGTTGACTACAGTGGTCATTGAATACTTCAAAACCTAGCGAGCTCCAATCGAATTTTAAACGATTTTTTTTCTTTTTTGAAAAATAATTGCAAATTAATTACAATAAATAGGCACCGAAAAATTGATAGAAACCAATCTCGAAATAATTTGTTTATTTTATAAAATGGAAATTAATTGGATGAGCAAGGTGCAAGGTATTTTGTTCATTGGTTGTACAATATGTAGAATAGAGCATAAAAAACGCACAATGCACGTGCATGCAATGCGTTTACTGTGTCTTGTATTCACGTTGCAAATTCATGACCAGTGAAAGACGAAATCAACTTGTGCCATTGCTGATTAGTATGCCTGAGTTTAATTGATTTTTATAGGATTTTAATGGTTTAGTGATGTATGGGCGTCAAATATCGACATAATGCATAAATAAACGCTACATAGTTGCCATTGTTTTTTTTCTGCTTCTTCTTTGTTTGCTATTTTTTTATGCAAAAGGAAGTGTTTAGGCAATATTCGTCGGCATCACACGTCTTAAGTGCTCATGAATAGTCAGAGCGGAGAGAGATAGCAGCACCCACACTGTCAGAGTCGAAATGTGAAAAATGTAATTTGTAAAATCTGAAATTTAAAATAAGCGCCCAATGTTGCTGTTACTGTCTTGTTGCGTTGCCAATTTTGCGTATATAATTCATATTTGATAAACTAAAATACATATTAAATAAAATATACGCACGGAATTCATTACGAATGCGTGCGGCCTGATATTTAGTTCAGCTAACGCGCCACACTCACATCCACAAGAAATGCACAACCGTAAAGGGTTTCACCATCATCTTGTTGTTGTTACCTACGAAATGAATAAACGAAGAACGAACGACCGAATAAACGCATGAAATATAAATGCAGTACATTTATGCGAACACCAGCGAGTGGTATTTTACATTACACACACACACACACGGGAAGAGCGGGAGAGCCAGAGAGGATGGGATCTTCAATCTTATTTGATTTTAAAAGGAAACATACACTTCAAAATCGCTAGTGTGGCGGTGTCTACAACTCAGCACAAAATAAATGTATTTTAAAATGATATTTAAAGTTCAACAGACGTACGGATGGATCTCTTGTTCATACCTATCTCTCACACTCTCACGGCTAATTCCAACAATTTTCTGAGTCGAAAAAGAATATGAGAGCTGCCTGTGTGCGTATATTATGTTGAAATAGGCTATTTTCGGAATTAAATCTACCGACACAATAAACTCATGTAGACAAAAACCCCACAATATCATGTATGATTTCATCACGTTCATGAATTTTGTATTTTACACACATGAAAAATGAGCAGTTGTTTATTTAGAGACTTTACAGATTCACAACTCTCTCGTATGCTTCGCATCTCTCTCTCTCTCTCTCTCTCTCTCTCACGTTCTCACTCACTCATTCTCAAGGCGAGCAATTCATATGCAGGATGATTTTGTGCGTTAAATTGTACCGACTTGTTTTATAAATAATAATTTAATATGTAATTATTTATTCGCTGAGTTGATTCTCTCTGCTGCAATCTTTCTTTCTCTCTCTCTCCCTCTCTCACTATTGAAAATTTTCGGCGTTCTGGGGATTCTTCCATGTACATTGTACACACTTGTTCAAGTGATTAACGGCAACAATCATTGTTATTATTATGTTTGGTGCATGAATAAAAGGATTCGACAACGATGGCGATGATGACACTGCCTGGATTTACGATACACTTCCCAACGAGGGAAATTAAATACCGTTCGCAAAAGATTCATATACGAATGGATTTGACACCCTCACTGAACTCATAACCGGAAAATGAAATCGAGCCATTCGTACACACAAATCTTAATATTTCACATGAAAATTTATCAAAAAATCGTCGCAATATTTATTTTCTCACATTGATATCAAATACAAATGAAACCTTTTAAATGGTCATGAAACTGTCAAAATTTACACAAGACATTGGAAGGAACTTAAGAGAACATGTTTTATTTTCTTTTTTTTCCTCTATCAACTAATTCTGCAAACTGATGTCATGATGGGATCGAGTTTGTTTAAAAATATCAAAACTAATACAATCGAGACGTGACTCTGTCTGTCTCTTCAGAAACAAAATGATTCATCATTGTGATTTTGAAGCCATTTAACCTAATTCAGCAACAATATCATTGGGTTTATCGCATCAATTGACAGAAATAATCGATAAAATATGAACACTGGACAATCTATTTATGAATCCACTGGCTATCTTGTTTGGTCGTGACCATGCACATCGAAACATCGAGCACGTTGTAATCAATGGACGGCCCTTTGTGCCATTCGTTTTGCTCTTCATTGTAAATTTGAACTTCACCGTCCCCGTAGAATAAATACAGACATCCGCCCGCAACATCCACGTGAAAATAGTTGACGAAATGCGAATAGTTCAATTTTTTGATCTAAATTCAAATCGAATGAAAAGAATACACATTTAAATTAGAAACAATGTGTAGTTGGGTTTTCCGTGCATTTTCCACTTACGATAAACCAATCCTCGACATTTTCATCGTAGCGTTGAACGACAAACTCGGTTCCGTTGTATATTTTCTGCTGATCAAAACCCGCTGTGGAATGATTGAACATGTGATTGAATATTTGTCAAAATTGAAATGATAACTCAAGGAAATGATTTAATTTCGAACAAGAATCGGAACTTTTTTGAAAACTCACACATCACAACGAAGATAGCGCCATTTAATTCAACGGCCTTGAAACAGGTCTCTTGGTTTTCATTGTTTTCATTACGCAAGTTACCTCTGGTAGTCCATTGCTTTTGCTTGATATGGTAGCTGCGAACCATTATCCGATTATAGCCGCAACCAACAAAGTACAGCTCATCATTGAGGCCCACGATGCATTTAGCGTCCAGCACATCATCTTCTACATGGCCCGTTGACCATAACTTCGATTTTAGATCGAACCTATGGGGAAAAGGAGTCGATAGTAAATTGAAAGTTGGACGAATGTTGAAGAAAAATTACTTGAAAAAGGGCTGAAGTTGAAATTTACTCGAAAAAAAAGAAAATAAATTGTGAAAATAAATGAATTGAAAAAAGAAAAAAATAACGAAACCAAACACCAGATTCTCATTCTTACTTGTGGAAAAACTGTTGATCGGCGCGTGCAAAGCAGTAAATTTCGTCATTCAAAAGACAAAACAATGCCAACTTAGCGCATTCAACGTCGTTTGGCAGTCTAATTGTTTCAACTGCACCCGTGTCCAATGCCAAATGATGTGCATGTGCAATGACACCATTCCGCATGTTGAACATCATAATATTTGTGTGGATAACAATCATAACGGCATCTCGAAATGTTTCGATGGTTTGCATTAGATCGATTTTCTTTGACGGGTTTTCCCACTTTTGTTCGATCTCGCAAAATGTACTGAACTGGATAGTTTTGCGCTTCAAAAGGGCTAATACATGAACTGTTTGCGATGGTTTTCCTTCAATTGTGAGTTCTGGGCCGATTTCAATTTGTGAATTCAATTCGGTTAGGATTGCGGTACTTTGGGCACGTTGCCGACATGATTCATGCAATTGAGGAATGTTGCAGATTGAACCTTGGAAATAGCCAGCGATGAACTGGAAAGAAAATAAAAAAAATTAACGCTTATTCACATTCATTAGGTCAATCAATAGTTGTCAAAGAGAAGCAATCCAATAAAGCTGGAACAAAAACAATAACAACAAAAACACAAAACTCAAACTGTCAAATCTCACTCACCGCAGCTCGAATGGCGGCATGTGTGTCAGTGCCGGCAAGCAGATGAGAAGGGAATACATTTTCCGCGTCGTTCAACGATTTCAATAAATCATCGAAAATGCCGTCTTCACTGTTCGACAACAGTTCAATCAGCCAGAACATTTGCGATCCGTTCAAGTGATAAAATTCCGGTAGCCGGTTGATGTGTGGCAATTCTTCGGAAATAATGGCAAGTGCATTCTCTTTCAGCATTTCAATCTCATGTTTGTTGGCAATTTCAAGAAAACGAATGCAATTGGTCATATCCAGCAATTCCTCAAGCATTTCGTTGCACAGCAATGCCAACGAATCGATTTGCAGCTCCTTGGCACCGATGAGCACACTTTCAACATTGTCGATGGTCAGTTCGGCTGCGCCGGTGTAACAAAATGTAATGATCACATCGACCGTCTCCGAATCGATGTTCAGCTGACACGAATTCTCCAGTGCCGTATAATCAGAAAATTCATCATGCTCAACGTCATCGAGAAGATTGTTGAAAAAATAATCACTTTTTCCTGCCATTATGTTACTGTGCACGTTGAACCTGAGTTAAATTAATCAGCAGTAGAAAAAAAGAAAAGAAAACAGTTTGAGTTGGTGTGTGTGTGTGTGTGTGTGTGTGTGTGTGTGTGTGTGCGCGCGGCTTGATATGCTTGATATAATAACGCCGAAAATTGGGAAAATTATTTGCCGGTGGGGCTTTGATGTGTGGTTCCGCACCTTTTGTCGTCACTGCTCAATATCACGGCATCCGTCAATATATTCTTCTCTCGAAGTAATGAGAAGCGATGAAAAGCAAATTCGGAATGATGTTGATCTGTGTACATTGGCCGCTTCATCATACTTTCCTCGAAACCGTCAAATGCTACGCTTGAGTCCACGATAGCACTCATTTTTATGGATTTTTTTTGTTCGGTAAACAACAACGATTATTATAAACAAATTTAATTTTATTATTATATATTCAATTCACAACGAACGAAAAATTAATTTATTTTTGCGTTCAAATTTAATATTTAGAAACAACACACAAAAAAATTACATTAATTCAATGGTGCGACTGCACACACACACATTCTATAACCACAAACGAACGATAACTGTCTTGACAGAGAGAGTGAGCGAGTGAGCGAGGCTCAACACTCAAACGAAATGCCTATAGTTGCATCTGTCTTGTTCACACTTTGACCGATGGCGATTGATTTTAATTCGACAACAGCGATGTGTTTGTGTTTTTTTTCGGGCTACGTGAGCAATATGCGAAATTTGATCTGTCAAATGTCGACAAACAATACAAACAAACAAACGTATCGGTCTGAGGCGACAGCATAACTTTTTAGCGTGGCGACAACACAAGTGTCTTTCGTTTCGTTTCAATGTGTTGATTGCCTCATTCCGTTTGCAAGTGGTGTGCAACATTTCACAATCGGTTGGAGAAAAAAATGTATCTCCATGCAATGTTCCGATGATGATTGAATCTTCTGTCATTTTTCTCAGTTTCAAATGGAATTTGGTCTGTTTATTTATTTCATTTTGTTCTTTTTATCCATGTCTGTGAATATGGTTGATATGAACTTCATTCACACCAAATTCATTGTACCATTTCAAAAAGGTGTCTGTTTTGATTCCCTAAATGGTCTCAATCGTGCCACATAAAATTGAAGAAAAAACTTATTTCTTTGATGTCTCGCATCAGTATTATGAATTTCATAGCAATACTATTTGTTCCGTGCATTGCATTCGTCCAAAGACGAAGACAACTTTACTCGTTTTGTGTGTGGAGAACACAACCTCAAAGACAGTAATATTGTCTTTGGCTGGAAATTTTCTGTATCTCGTCGAAAATATGCTGTTCATGCATTATTCTGCAAAGTTTTCAATAAAAGTTCGTTAATCTTCAATATAATGCCTCTCATTTGATTATTATGATGAAATGGAAATAAAAAATATGTTTCATGATAGAACATTTACTTCATTTGTTTCTTTCGTATTTTAACGTCATAATTTTATCTATGGCTATTGATTTTTGCCATTGAGAACTTTACGTTTGTGCAAAATGATTAAATTATGTTTGGTATTCAGTCTAAGAAGCAATAAATTGCTCCGATACACTTTCTATCGAACTGAATTACAGCCACGGTTTTCGTATAGTTATTGGTTACATCAAATGTTTTTCCGCGCGTATGATGGCAAATGTAGGCTATAAATAGTACGAATGCATTCTTACAATGTTGCAATTTAGTTATTAACTTTTAGCGCTGGCTTAATGTTGGAGATTTAGCAAGTGGAAAATTTGCCGCTGCGCATAACCTATCCTTTGACATTCAAACGGAGAAAAGGATTGAAAGCAAAAGAATCATATCACGCTTCTGCGGACTTTATTCATCGGCTCATGTGGTGTAGTGGTTATCACATCTGTCTCACATGGCTGAATGCCGCAATTCACAGAGGGTCCCTAGTTCAAATCTAGGCATGAAAATGTTGAATTTTTTTTAGATTTAAAAAATAATAATTTTCCGTTATTTTGACAGGATTGAGTGAACTCAAAATCGATTTCCTGTAAAAAAAGGGTCACACATCCATCGGAAGACAAATCCAATGCTCAACGAACATTGTCACGAGTATTATATAGAATACGGTTGCCGAAATCATTGCAACGATTGTTCTTCTACCTCACACACACACACGGCAATGGCTCATGAGCTCAGCAGTAATTTTGTGCTTGGTGTGAACGTCATCCAAATGAACAAACAGACAAAACAGAACAAAACGTAATGAATGTTGAATAAATTCATTGCATAAACTTATTTAGTGCTGATGTTTACCGTACTCTCTTCTTTTACCCCGTATGAACACAATCATAATATATTTCTTTGCTAGCGAATTCAATTTGCTGTTTGTTTCTTCAGTTTGCACGGAAAATAATCATAAACACTTTAATTGAAAGCAATAATTCATATTCGTTGTCATCTGAATGGTTCGATTTGGCCTTCGTTCTTACCCGTGTGTAGCATTCACATAAATGTTTATGGTTTTTATTGCGTGCACCAAGTAAACATTGATGTCAAATGTTCCCTTTCCAATTCGATGTGATATCAGAATGTAATGTAGGAGACGGGAAAAAAAAATCCTGTCCAAGCGATAGCCCAAAAGGAAGAGAAATAAAAGTGAAATTGTTTTTATCAGAAAAATGGAACGGAGAGTAATAGTTTTGGTTTGACGTGTGTTTGGAATGTTATTTAGTGCAGTGTCGGCCACTTGGTGTATGTGTGATATGGATCGGTGAGAGTGACGTGGTTCATTTTGGTTCATTGGCGATAACTCGTAAATTTAGTGGCATGCATCGTTTTTTTTCTGCTGCTGCTAGCCGACACTCGTCGGAATCAGAACACGACACATATTCGATTGCGCGTCGAATTTGGTCGAGAATAACTTGCCTGAATGGTTTTCCCCGTTCGGGTGAAACATTTTACCGATACACCAGCATGAGAGGAAAAAAAAGTACGCACAGCACAGCGCAGGGAGCACACAATTGCGGGTGCACAATACACAAATGATAATAAAAGACACACGAAGTGAAAATCGAATATATATATTGTAACACGTCGAAGACGACGTCGACGACGACGACACGACTACGGAACAACAACAACAACAACAACCGGCCAATAAATATAAATTGAGAGATTTTCTATCTGTTAGTTTTCGCGCAATAAATTTTTATTAACACCAATATATGACAACGCATCCAATGGAAAATTGAAAAGGAAACAGAAAAAAATGCACTACAACACACGACATGACATGGCATACATTCAACCGAAGAGAAAGAGAGAAAGATATAAATACAGAGCGGGACAAGAAAAAAAAAAGTGAAGACAATAACATTGAAAGCCAAAGAGATGTAAACGGAAAAATTGAATAATTTTCTGCTCTCGTTTTTTTCTTTCTATTTCATTTTTATCAGTTTTGTGCTTGACGTTGGCCAATTGTTCGCTGTGATCAGCAGCTGATGCGGTGATGGCGCATAAAATGGACAAAGTGCCAATAAAACATTGTACGTCAATGAATATTATCGAGAAAAGTATAATGTAGTGAGTGTGTGAGTGTGTTACATTGCACGAGAATGATTGTTGTCGCTTTGATTGCCAATGTTTTTCGGATGTGTTGCGCTACGCGCACGCTAGACCAATGTGTTTTAGTTATGATAAAAAAAATTCATTAGGATTTATCTGTTTTATTGGTTGGAACCAAATCAATGGACACAGCGCATCGTTTTATTTTCCCTGCCTTCACAACTACCATGTTAACTGTCTTGTCATATCACATTTGAGTAGCCGTAAACTGTGTCCGTAGAAAATTGTCTGAGTGTGAAAATTACATTCGAAATATTTTATTTGATTGTTTGCACACTGAGCAAAAATGTCTGTGATCCCGAAGTTAAATGGCGAATAAATGGTATGCGCCATAAAATGAAATTAATAAACTGGCGAATGGAAAATGAAAGACCCAACAATCAGGCATTAATCAGAGAGAAGTAAAGAGACAAAAATCTTACATTTACTTGCAAAGATACTAAACTCAGCGAGTCCCTTCGATTCACTTGGGTCGGAGTTGGAGTCAAGCAGCGCTCTTAATTCGACAAATAAAGACACACACTCGTTTGACTCTTTATCATTGGCCCATATTTCTGACGGTAGTTAAAACTTCAACTTTATTACGAAAGTATTTCTCGAACATCGGTCAATTGTGCTCGATTTGAGTGTCTTCGGATTTTCTCTCTCAATAAAATTACGTTGTTTTTGTCACACCCAAGAAGTCATCTAAAACAATTCACAAGTTAATCGAAACCAAAGTCAGTCGTCGTGAACTTTCCAAAGCGGCAATTAAAGTGTTCCTAATACCGAAGAAAAGGACTACGTTTTTGGGGTTTATTAGAAATATTTCTCAACTCCATCCCCTTCCATCTTGAACAAGGAACATATGCTCATTTTTGGAAACGACTCGAAGGAATCACGGAATAACAATGGCAATAATATTGCCTTAGATGTCAGTGTTATGAATGTAATTTTCAATTTAGTGCATCGTATTATTGTGCTAATAAAGCCAACGTACGCCTTAAAACTATATAGCATTGAAATCGTAACCATTTTCCGAATGTGTGTCACATACACACACACACACGCTGGCAAATGTGATTGTTTGACACGGTGTCATGAAAAACTTCTCCGATTCCCAATGAAATGATAACGAACGAAAACAAAACAATTTAACGCTTGTTTTTATAGGCAATGTCGTCGTGGTGCGAAGAATGTATGTTTTGTGTGTGTGTGTGCCATTTCGATGTAACACAAGTAAATTAAACAACATTAGGAAGGACATTTAATTTTCATTAAAAATCCAAACAATCTGCACAGCGGAAAAAAGAAACGGTTTTTGTCAATGGCACGAAAAGAGTGAGCGAGCGAGCAAGCGAGCAGGCGAGTGAGTTAGTGGTGGTGGTGAGGGAAGATTCATTACCATTTTTGTCTAATAATGACTTGAAAATGTTGTTAATGTGGAATTGTGTTAACGCGCGCGGAGAGCTCGTATCACAAACAGAGACATAATATAATGAAATGACAACAATAACACCCAATGCGACAACAACAACGAGCGACAAAATTATATCAGTCCAAATAAAGGAGAAACAATCATTTCAATCGTCCAATAAAAATAAGCACTGACACAAAGAAAAAACAAGCGAATGGAGGAGCTCAGTCGCGCTCGTACATTTGTCGACGACTTAATTAGTTCATTTTGTCTGTCAATTAAATTTAATGTTTTCATTAATTTTTTTTTGTGTGTGTCTTCGTCTTTCGACGATGTTGTCATTTTCCATGCGATTTCCACTGTGATTATGCTCTGTTTTTTTTTGTTCTCGAGGAAATCTGTGCCGTCTTTGAATTAAATCTGTTGAAAACTTGTGACTGCAAAGTTGGCAGTGCCAACATCAGGCGAAGAATTAGAACCATTTGGATTTGCATTAATTGTTTTCTAGTTGGTGAAAGGAAAAGTCATGACATTTCTCAGTTTTTGTTATCGTCCATTACTTCGTCTGTTGGATGTTTTTTCCGTTAAAAGTGGGGAGTAGCATCTCTATTCTATTGTTTTATTTATACGATGTGAGTGAGTCACTTATCTCGGTGGCTTGGCCATTTCGAATGTGATTGCATTTACATATACATTACCTGATTAGAAACCTTTTGCTCTCCATTGTTTTCACGGTAACCGGTGCCATATAACACTACACACAGTTCACCCCACACAATTTCCAAAAGCCAATGTTAACAACAGTCTACGGTGATTCCAGCATGAGTTCGACCATGATGCCAAATGTGAAAATGGTAAACATTTAATTTAATTTGATTTAATTGCCGTTTCCGCTTGGTTTCCCCAAAAATAGTTGTAGCTCGGGGTTTTTTTTCCTACCATGACCAATTTCCATTCAAACGTTTCCCTTCGCTTAAATTGCTTTTTAAGTAGCTTCCACATGAAAATTGAATACATGCTAATGATTTGAAAAAGGTAAAAAAAAATTGTCGGTTGCGGAGTAAATAGTTTCACTAAATTAGATCCATTTCGAATCTATCTTAAAACTGAAGCTGGTTAATTTACAGCGTTGCCATGAGTTAGAATTTAAACGATAGACGCTATTAGGTGAAATGAGAATTCCACACAGCAAACCAAACGAAAAGAGCAACTGAGTCTATGTGCTGCAACGACCTTCTGAATGGAGAAGAAAAGCCTCAAACTCAATACAGAAAAGGAGAGAGAGAACGAGAGAGAAGCTAGAGTTGAGGAGTGGGAAAAAGTTAAATTGAATTCATTTGGGGCAGGAAATGATTTTATCAAATCATTTTCTTGAAACTAGAAACGAGATTTTTGAATTTCGTACCGGAAGTTTCAATGCCAATTTGCTTTCAGGAGTAGAAATGTTCAATTTTCATAGAAAAAAAGTCAATTTTCAGATTATCAATTTCAATCTGTCGATATTCACTCTCATTTATCAATCATTCCGCTTGAAATTTCGAATTGAAGTCAATTTGTTGATTTCATATTCCGAACATGTGAACCATATGTCTTTATCAAATGTCCGGTGGTTTTGTGTGCTGACGATGATTTGTCTTCGAATCGCAAGAGCATTCAATTTAAAATGGTTTCAACAGGAGTATGTCGATTATATCAGTCTCTCGTAACAACGCACATACCGCATAGCTCAACCATATATGCGGTGCTACGTGTACCCTGTCTGACGGCGAGCATGATTCAGGTGTTAAATTACATTGGGGCCGTTTGTAAAAGCCGAAAATGGAAATGATGTTCGAATTCAATTTACATTGGATTTTGATTGTGAATTCAGTTAGTCAATTTTCCGGATTAAATTTATTGTCAGCAATTTACCCGAAGCTAAATCAGAGCGCAGAGCCTCAATGGATGTGGCTTGATTTTGGCAGGCACACAACCGAATTCCACATGTCGTGTGTTTGTGTGGATGTGTGACTTGTTGTTGATTCATCACACAGAACGTTGTTGATTGAGTGACGGTGTCTGATTGCAAAATAATAGGTTTCATTTCGACAGCAAAATATTTGGGGAAACATCTCACTTTGCCGAATGAAAAAGAGAAGCGGAAAAAATGTGAGCTCAAGTGAAAAATGTTTGTGCTGAAAAACGCAAACGAATATGAAATCCAAAACTTCATCAAACAAATAGGAAATAAAATTGCAAACACATGGAGAATTCAAGTGGGCAATTGGGTGAGTGAGTGAGTGAGTGTGTGGCCGCAACAGTGCAAATATCAATTTAAAGTTAATTAAATATGTAGAGCAAACATTCCGTTTGCCGCTATTGATATTTGTATGCACAGAGCGAACGAGCGGTGCGAGATTTGATTCACTTGTGGCGGAATGCTGTGTAAACCGAGTGGTAAGTGGCAAGCGGCAAGTGGTGAGTGGTGTTTTTTTTCCATAAGAATTATTATACCGAGAACGATGTGTATACATGATGCAAACGATGTAGCCCCGGATATAATGGAAAAACCGACTTGTTTTCGCAATAAAAATGACCGTTTTATGTTTTGAAAGATACACATGTGAAGGATACACTGTTAGCGTTTTCTTTCTCTCTCTCTCTCTCTCTCTCTCTCTCACTCTTTCACTCTCTCGAGAGTTTATTTGTCAGAGTAAACAGAGGCGCGCACAAGTGCTACCACAGTGAGAGGAAATGATGAAATGGTCTTTGGTCGGGCATCCAAATTAGCATACTGAATGTGGTTCAGTTCTCATTTGCGTGTTTGTACGTATTCATATGCCCTTCATTCAGAGTCGTCTTTTTTCCCTATCCATTTCCATCCTTATTCATTTCACATAATTATTATTTGGCGCATAAATTTCCTTTGCTCATCCTCAATGCGATTGTCACGTTCGCACATTCATTTTTGCGTTTCCGTTATTTACCCGTCGAAGCCGGCGGTTGGCGATCACCTCAGCACATTTGCCACATTGGCATGAAAGAACCCTTGAAATTCTCATTTCTACGATTCTGTTTGTTTCAATGTTTCTGCAGCGGCAAACTTTTTCTGCTACTTGTGAGTAGCACTCACAACTTTTTCTGACTTGATGACACAGCATTTGATTGAGAAAAAAAAAAGAGAAAGAGTAATGCAATGCAGTGTCAACAAAACACACCTATTGAAATGCGGCAGCAATCGCGACTCAATTCCACCCGGTAAAACCGGAGGGAGAACTCATCAATCGAAACACATACAAAAAATCAACTCAAGCAAATATTTGAACGGGTAAAAAGGAAAATGTTGAAATGCAACTGAAATCGAATGCAATGCAGCAATATGGAAAAGAGTTTCAAATGGACGCAATGACACACGATAAACAAATTGGTGCCATAAACGCTTGAACTTTTCTAAATGTGCAACCTAAACACAAAAACCAGTCTCATTCACCGAGTGACACTTTTCAATCATTTTTTTTCACTTTCTACGTGTTTGTATGTCTTTTTTTTCCACTCATTTTCTCGCTTTTGCAACTCATTTCTAACACCCACCAGAATGACGACGCTTCAGTGGCGTCTTTTTTTTACCCGTCACTTTTGTTTTGACTGCCATTATTTTATTTGCTTTGTAGTGCGAAGAGCATACACCTATTAAACACGCCGTATTTACACAGCAACGATATGAAGGTTTTCCAGTTTTTTTTTGGTAAACAATCAATTCCGTACCAGCTCCTCCGGTCGAGTGGAAAAACTACTCGCACTTTGTATACGAGAACACACGATGACAACATATTGTATACATTTATCGAAACGCTTTTCTCGTCCGCTCTTTGTGTTTGTTTTGTTAAAATGGATTTTCACAATGCCCTTTGCCTTATTTGTATTCACTGTGTTTATACCTGACGCTTTCTTCAATTTTTACTGGCAATTTCGTTTTGCAAAATGCAAACAGCAATTATTTCATTGGACTTGGGTTTACTTTCGTTTATATCACTTGCTTGCCTGTTCAGACGAACTTTAAGCAAACAGTACGGATATAAACAGAGCCATGAAACCGAACTGTCAAACTACAACGGGGACCGCGTAGTCGGTTGTCATTCGTTGCGGAACGCGCTAAAAGTATGCATAAGTACATGAGTACATATTTCAAGCATTCTGGTTAAAAAATATTTCAATTATTTATAAAAATATACCTAGTGTTTTAATATGAAAACCCATTTTTAATAACATTTTAGAAACGTTTGAAAAAATACCGAAAAAGAATATGAACTTTCTTTTTTTTGCTCAGAAATTCTTTGCTAACATTTTTCTTGTTTTTGATTGACAAAGTGAGGTTAAGTATCTACTGACATGTTCAATGTGTAGAACAAATTTGTGCACTCGGTGGAACAAAGTCATTGTGTGTTTAAGGAGCCACTTTATTCCCATGGCTCCTGAAACACATTTTCAAGCTCACTTTGTAGGAAGCGAACGTAAAAAATGAGAAAATTGAATTAATTGATTCCAAAATTCATTTGAACATCAGCAAATCTAAAGAAAACTTAGATAAATATGTTCATGTTGGAAACATTTTTCTAAATTTGATAATGTGGATGTGTCATCCAAATCATTCATTGCATTTAAATAGGAAATAAAGAAACAACATAATTTTACACAAATATTCATTTTCCACTTGATTTTATCATTTTTATTCACTCCATGAATAATATACGTTCACGAAAATACGTTGTCTTTTTCAAACAAAGTAGTTCAAATTCAACGAGTCGTTCTACGAAGGTGCACTTAAGACTGTCTGGCGTGTATTTAATTTGTACTTTATTCTGACAGCCGCGTTGTAATTGATGATGACAGTTCGGTTTCGCCCCTCTGGATATAAAAAGGGTTATATTTGGAATGAATGGCACGTATATTATGGCATTCATATAGCTTGATACTATTCAAAAACGCTCCTTTGAAAGAGAAGTATCCGACATTCTGAGGAAAATATTTTAATGAAAAAAAATATATGATAAAAATCAATTAAGATTAACATTTTTAGGATAAATTAAGTCTATTTCAGCATTTTCACTGAATATTTTTGTCTATCTTCATTCAATTTTTTAAAAAAAGTCACTTTCTATTTCTTGTCTTTGAATGCCACCAAACTTTCGAAGTAGTGCTTGTGTTTCTGAATTACTCTGAAATTTAATCAAATCACCTTAGTTTGAAAGCATTTGTACTGCAAAACGAAAGGAAAAATTTTAACTCTCCTTCAGTCTTTTTCACAGAAATAAATTCCGTGTTTTTCATCCGTAATCAAAATTAATCAGAACAATTTCGTCGCTTTCCAATTTCTATTACGAAGAAGATTTTAAAACTCATTTTATACGTTCACCTCTAGTTTTGTCTGGTTATTACACATTTTAAACCACATTTAAGTTCATAATATAGTGCGCATTTTAGTTTGACAGCATTTTTTTTTGATTTCAAAAACTACTTCCAATTGTACATAATATAAAAAGACTGAAACAGATGTGTGATTCATGGAAAAAGGTCAAGTTAAGCGAAGGTGTGCAGTCTTATGTTGATTCAAAGTATACGGAAAGTGCAATGTGTCGAATGTCTCGATTTTTCAACGATAGGAAATTCACCGATTTCGAATTGATCAGTTGTGATCATATACAGTAAGTGGGTGATTGAACACATTTGCATAAACATCTCGAAAAAAAAATTTAATATTCCCTCCAAACAAAAGTACATGTTCTATGTTAAGTTTTAAGGTACACTCAATTGTGATGGCAGCAGCGAGTGAATACTTTCATAACATTCTTCTGAAAGAGGAGTCAAGTTGCTGCCTCGATAGTATAGATTCCGAGACGCTCGACGATATTATTCGGTTTTGTTATTTCGGAGAAATTCGGTTAAGTGCAAACAATTTAGAAGCGATTATTGTTGCAGCACATGAACTTAAAATGGAAACATTGAAATTGATGTGCAGCGATTTCCTGGAATCATCGCTGGATGTTGATAACAGTTTACGGTGTGCATTAGTTGCTGAAAAGTGTGAGCTAAAGGCGTCAAAGGAATTGGCAAAAAAGTTTTTCGCAGCTAGCTGCTCGAAAATATGCGAATTGAAAGAGTTTCATAGTTGGAGAGAATCGCAATTTGACGATTTCGTTAAGAATTTATCAAAGAATGATCGTCTGTTCAAAGACTTAATGAGAAAGATTCAGACGAATGAACACATTGCAACGACACCGCTAGTCTTTTCCAAAGACTTGTTTCAAGCGATATCCAAGTCATTCGTGAGTAATTGGGAAATAGCGCATTGAAATTTGAATTTATTTTCAATTACCAACTCAATTTTAATTAAGTTCAATTTCAAAAACTATTCAGTAAAATTAAATTACTTTTTCGTTTCGTTTCGTTTTTTTCTCAATTGTTAGTTTATCGCTGGTTACCTTGAATCAATTGCTTCGGATAATTCGACTTCCTCAAGCCGTTCAAACGCTATTGCGAATAATCACGCAAGTCGATTTTCTATACCGGAACCAATGACAGTAGCAGCCACTAGTAGTATCATTGATGCAGGACTTTTTATCATAGCAAAGAGCAGAAATGGCAGTGCAGTCGATTTTTATAGCATTTCGGAAACGAGTGGCACGCGCAAATGTCTACCAAAATATGGCATTAAGACAGATGGAATCAATACGTTCACAATGCGAATATTTCCGCACAAAAATCGAATCTACATGTGTTATTCGACGAGAGGTCAACAGCTTCAAATCAAATGCTGGTGTTTTGAAACGCAAGCCATGACCGATGTACTGATCCCGGCCACCGTGCAATACATTAAGCCACGCTTTGTCAACGAAATTGGCGGCGAAATTTTAGTGTCAGAAGAGAAATACGTCACATGGCCTTATGAAGGCTTCAAAATAACAGCATGCAAATTCGGACTGGAGTCTGAAAGTTACAAAAGCATTGAGTTTAACTACGACAACTTGAAGGAGATTATCTACTTTGAAGATGAAATATTTGTATTCAGCAGCCAAAAGTCAGAAGTGATGAGCTTTGATATGAACACAACCAAATCAACGCCGAGAGGATCGCTGAATAAAAATGGAATTGTTAAAGCGGTCATTTTTCATGGGAATCTTTATGTGGGGTGTTATATTCGAACGAAATGTTATTTGTATGTCGAACGATACGACAAGAAAAACAATCATTGGAATATTGTAAGTGGATTGAATTGTATTTTCGAACATTCAAATTGGCCAACAACTAGACTAGATATAGAAATTCCTCTAATAAATTTTTACTCTAATCCGTTAGGTCGGTTCGATTTGCACATACACAGAGGCATCCAGTTTCCATATCGGTGCAACAGATAACTATTTGTATGTATTTTATGGAAAGGGAAAAATTCAACGATATAATGATGCATGCGATCGATGGACCACACTCGATTTCTCCGATAATTTTGATCAAATCGTGTTATGTGTTTCAACAAGCCCATTCATGTGTGTTAATGATGATAAATTTTGAAACATGTTGGAATAATCTTAAATTTTCTTAAAAGTGAAATAAAATTGATAAATCAAGAGATAGCAAAGTTTTCTTCAAAATTCAAGCTCAAATTTGGTTCAAATCTTATGTTGATAGTTAACATTCTTTTATTATCATTAGCTTAAGAAAAAATCAAACTTGTACGAACTGTTCCATTTTTCGCCTACTTCGATATCACCAAAAAATATGCTAAATCAAGAAAAATGCCTGTAGTTTCACTTTAAATCCAAATCAAATTCAATTCAAATCAAATCGCCGTTCTTTTTGCAGTCATTTAAATAGTTCGCAATTGTAAATTTGGTCGAAAAAATTACGTTTTTTATAGTGTTAATAAAGAGAAAATTGAAAAGATGTGCGCTGACTCTTTAATAAAAATCAATGTATCGTCATTGCTAAACACCAAGTCAAAGGAAAAAACCCGAATTTTTAGTGTTTCAAAGTATGCTGCAAGCACTCTAAGCCGATTCTCAGAATTTTATGACGAAGCCAAATTTGCCGATTTTGTACTAACCGCCAGTGACCACAGAAAGTAAGTTTTTCCCTTGAATGAAGCCTTTTCTTGGCAGAAAAATTGTAATAGCTGAAAGAAGTAAACTTGAACTTGGTGAAACTAAAGTAATTAGATCAATCCTCGATTGACAATCGAAATTTGTTCAAAATCTATTTCTTTACTGTCCAAAATCTAACCTAAAATAAATAAATGAATAAATAAATAAATAACATGTAATTAATCTCCGAAATAAATAAATTTGTAGATTCTACGTGCATTCAATTGTCCTAGCTGCTGCAAGCGACTATTTCAACAGTCTTCTTTCGAATCATCAGAAAGACTATTCATTTGATTCGCTTGATTTCGCGTCATTAGAACGAATTATACGATTTTGTTATACGGGAGAAATAGAGTTATCTTCGGAGAACATTGAAAAAATGGCGAATGCCTCGCATGAGCTACGAATCCCACATTTGAAGGCAGTTTGTAGCCAGTTCATAGAGAAAACAGCAGATGCTACGAATTGCTTGCAATACGCGTTAATCGCTGATAGATGTGGACTGAGATTGTCCAAGGAATTGGCGGAACAATTTCTCGCCGTGAATTGCGCGAATATTTCAAAGGATATGTCACCAAGGAATGCAGTTCATGTGAACGATGTTGCTACAAATCTGTCGAACAATGAAAGCAAAATTTTTGAAAATGTTATGAAGTCGGTGGAATCCATAAGCGGTGCAGATAGTACACTGTTGCTAAACGCATACCAAGCCATTTATCGGTCATTTGTGAGTGTGAATCCAGGGCTGGAATTCTAAGTCATTTCACCAAAATCGTTCGGAATTATTTTTTTCGTACATAAGACCATATTGGAGTGAAAGAGAGAGATTCCACTATTTTTCTGCACTCCACTGGAATTATTTCTAACACAATCCACTCTTCCTTGAGTTATCGGAATAATTCCTGTGGAGTGCAGAAAAATAGTGGAATCTCTCTCTTTCACTCCAATATGGTCTTATGTACGAAAAAAATAATTCCGAACGATTTCTGTGAAATGACTTAGAATTCCAGCCCAGTGTTTTTTCAGTACTTTGTACTTTGTATTTTTTGGATTTTTTTTTAATTTTTTCCTCCCATTTTTTTCCTAATTTGCCCACCTCGATCATCAAAAACAAAACAAAAACCAATGGGTCAAACTGTCAGTTTATTGCCGGTTACATGCAATCGTTCATCAGTACCGCAGAAAAGTCACCGGTTTACAGTCGTCAGGATACATTCAATGTCAGTAAAACGCCCATGCTGCTGGACAGCATGAACAGTGAAAGCAGCAACGACGAAGGTCTCTTTATAATTGCAAAGAGTAAGTGCGAAGGAATGGAGATCTATGCTATTTCCGATTTCAATCGATCGCTTCGAATCATGCCAAAATATCACATCGACACGGATAAAATCAACATTGAACTAGTCAGAGTATTTCCAGTGAGGGATCGAATTTTTTTCAGTTACATAAAAGATCAAAAATTATTGATAAAATCGTGGACATTCAAACGGCAAACCATGGTCGATGTAACACTTCCGCCAACAGTGCAATATCTTAAGCCACGGCTGACAAATGCGGTCGGTGGATCGTTCTACGTGTCGGAAGAGAAATATGTGGCCTGGCCGTACGAAGGATACAAAACGATAGTTTGTAAATTCGGACTCGATTCGGAATGTTACAAATGCATCGAAGTGAATTGTGGCGGAATGAAGGAAATTATTGGCAGTGGCGATGAAATATTTGTGATTAACCAGAAATCTGAGGTCTCCAGCTTCAATTTGATCGGCGGTAAACGTATTGCAAGAGGGACACTCACATACAACGGTATTATCAAGGCAGTTATTTACCATGGTAACATCTATGTGGGAAACTACATTCGATCGAAATGCACTCTGTTTGTGGAGCAATTCAAAAAGAAGTCCAACCAATGGATCACGGTAATTTTTAAGTTTAACTCTAGACCTGAATCTGAACTTCATTCAATTTTCCGTCATTTTACAATTTTCTCGTTCATTCTAACAGATTGCTTCATTTTGCACATATTCCGATGCATCCAACTATCACATCGGAGCTACAGAGAATTATCTGTACATATTTCATAGTAAAGGCAAAGTGCAACGATACAACGATGTTTCCGGTCAGTGGACAGCCGTGGATTTACCGGATAATTTCAATCAAACGGTATTGTGTGTTTCAACCAGTCCATTTACCTGCTTTCCAAACCACAAATTTTAAACGAATCATGTGATAAAATCGAAAAATGAAATAAATTTGTGATAAAATCTTGTAAACTTTTCTTTATTTTCGCAACTATTTCTCACCTTTGAAAATGGTGGAATATTCAACTCGACTAAAAATCAAAACTAATTTCAAGAAAATTCCTTTTAACAAATTCTGTTATTCTCCAAATAAACTTGGTTATTTTGCACTAAAAAAACTGCCCCCTGCCACGTTTCCATTACATTTGCTGAGCGCGCCCAAAAAAATTGAAATTCATTAACGAAGAAAAAAATGTGAGTGAAACAAAAAATTAATCAGACGCAAAAATGTAATAAGAGGTCGGTAAAATGGAGCAGTAAACGCGTTCATGAGCATTCGAGCGCGGCCGGGCCTAATTCATAACGACGCATACCGATCTGTTTATAAACACGGTGAACCTAATTAAAATGAAAAGAAATATCTAGTAAATTAAACAAAACGAATTAAACAACCCTAAATGAAGGTATGCTCCGGCTGTTGGCTCTCTTCAGAGGGCAGTAAAAAGAAACTGACGCCCAAATATACACACAGAGAGCAAAGGAAAAAAAATGCGTTGGATTTAATAAACGCGAAATAAGACGAATGAATCAAAGCGGTCGGAAAATGTGAAAGGAATTTCGTATGAATTCATTTGCCCATTTTTTTTCTCTCCGTGTTGCTTGGTGTCTGTTTGCATTTATTTACTTCTTACTTTGTTCCTCATAAATTAGCGTAATTTTTAAAATATTATCCAAAGAGATTTGGTGGAGGTTAGAAAAAATAAGAAGAAGGAACTTTTCAAGACAAATGATTTGTTTCCCGTTTCGATAATAAGTCATATAAATTCAGTTGGCATCAAGGATTTTTATTTCGCCAATAAAAATCAAAGCGGCTCATCGTTGGCAAAGTGTGCCATTAAAATGAAAACAAAAGGGACACAATTATGAAAATGTCATCAAACCATTTCGAATCGATTTATCAAAAAAAAATTCATTCGTTTCCCATTCTGTGTCTCTCTTTCTCTCTCTTTCTCGCCTGCTCAAACTTTTTTTCTCTATTCGAAATGGATTTTGGTGTTTTGGCGTCATAAGACCATCTGTCTCGGTGGTTGTCACCGAATCGTGGTGAAGAAAGTGAGGAAAACCCAAAAAAACAATATGCAAATTGAGGCCACGAAAAAAATCATTCCAATTTCCAAAGCATACTCGCGTGAAATCACGTTTTATTTAAAAACGCATCACGTCGGCAGAAAAAAAAGCGACGAAAAAAAAACTGAATTCGGAACGGAACGGAACGAGCGAACGCGAATCGTGCAGAAGAATGGGAAAAAAATTCATTCGAATCGGGGCAAATATGCTGCTAAAGAGGTGAGCAAATATCTAGCCAAATATTCATGAAATTACATCGCATTAATATTCAAATGGCATAAAGTGTTTACAAGAGTGATAGCTTTTGATTTATCTATCTTACAATTCGATTGACTCCATAGGCTGCGTGTGTGAGTGTGTGTGTGTGTGTGTGTGTGTGTGTGTGTGTGTGTGTGTGTGAGGCAGTTTTGATGATTTCAGCGACTTTTTTTCAGGCCCACTGCACTAAACCACACACCAGAGAAATGTGAAATATTCGGTGTGTCGATAACTGCGCATTTTGTCGTCGATTGTACGACGAGTCGAGAGGGAAAAGGGGAAGGAGGAGGTTGTTATGTTGACGTTTCGATTTAGCGATCCATTGACAGACCTGGATTATTATGTATTTTGTGATGAACGTTTCGATGTGCATATGCAAATGGGTCACGATTAACATCTAGATTGAGCGCAATTTTGCATGAATATTCATTTTTGATTTGTTTTAAATCAACCACAACTCGCATAAATAAAATGGAACCAAATATGCGTTTGTCATACGGCATACGCAACTGAGGAAAAAATGGAACGAAATCAAAGTGATACTCTTGCAGCCTACCGCCCGAAATTACAAATGGTGAAAAGTCTCTATTCCCAAAATCGTCATGTAATTCGGTGCGGTGTGTTTGTGTGTGCACTTTCCATGGCATTTTAAATATTTATAATGAATGTTAATTGTGTTGGGATTTATTCAGTCGGATGCAACCCTTTCAATTTTTAATTTCCCAGGCGCTCCAGCTCCGGCCATTTCATTTTATGTTGTTTCTTGTGTGTTGCTTTTTTCCACATAAGAATCGGATTAACAAAACTAATTAAATATTCGTTTCTTTTTCGGCAGATCAAATTAAAGGCACGGATAGAGTTCACAAAAAATGAGTAAAATGAACACGACAAAACTTTTGTAATTGCAAGCGCCGAACAGGTGCCCTCTCTTTCTCTCTCTCTCTCTCTCATCCAAGAGAAAGAAAGCGCGGAGGAGAATTGAGTCGAAGTTGGTGTCGGTAAAAGAAAACAATTACATTGTTTTGGATCGCGTTGGAAGACAAAAGAAATGAAAAAGTTGGCGAATGATTCGCAGGCGCTGGTAATCCGCGTTCTGAGCAATAATTTAGTGTTTACACAAAAATTTCGGATGCCATAAATAAAACGGATGTAAACGCATGCCATATAAAACCAGCTAAACTTGAGCAATTCCTTGAGCAATAAAAACGGAAAACTAGAGATGAAGTCGACCGCAACAGCACATACATTTGTTTTTTCTTCGAAACGCGCGGAAGAAGAAGACTAACTGCGTCACACACCCAAACACACACACTATTGCTAGTTTCGGGCGAAGAGTGTTTGGTGTGCACGAAATGATACGTATAAATTTGAAAGATGCTGGCGTTCGTATAAATTATACGAAAGGTAAAATTTCATTAATGTCACTCGACGTAGATTTATATGCTGTTTTGCTTTTATGCTCTCAGCACTCGCATCGTGCCGAAGGTTGCACTAAAATTGCAGATTCGCTTTTGCTTTTTGCCCTCGGTTACTAATAGATCTTCGAAATGAGAATGGATTTTTTTCTTTCGCTCGCTCGTTCGCTTCTGTCGCAATTTGGATTTTATTTTTGGAGCAGATAATGAAAATACATCAAATAGCAAACCATGTACCATTTATTATTGTCTCATTCGTATGTTAACACTGTGTTAAATTATGATTAAAAAAGAACAGGCTACCAAACACCTGAGTCCCAACTCCTGGGCTTCCTTTTGCCTGTGTTCTCCGCACAGCCAAATTCAATATTAACGCTGTCCTATTAAAATCTAACTAATAAACGTAGACACAGCGCACGGAATTTATTATTAATTCAAAGTGTCATTTCGAATGAGTGTGTCCAAAAGGCGGTGTCGCCATCATTGTCGACTCCTTCGATTCACACTTGCACTCACATTATTTCCACTTGCGTCAAGCAAATCACAAAATATTCATACTCGTAAAACATTCCACAATTGGAATTAGAATATTGAAGAAACAGACAAAGAAGACGATTGAAGCGGCTAAAGGTGTTGCTGCTGCTGCTTCTGCCAGCTCAAAATGAGCTCATTCATATTCAAACGTATGCGCGCACCAACAACTTTCCCAGAAAATTGTTCAATTTTTGCGTTCGGTGAAAGTGGTAAAATGTGTGCATTATATTTTCTCTGTCTGTATTATTTATTATTCATAATTCTGCTGCTTCTGCTGCTGCTGCTGCTGCTGTTGATGCTGTGTGTGTGTTTGGCGCATTTGCCGAATGGAACGACGCGGAAGAACAAAAGGCTTAAAATGCTGGAAAAGAATCGAAATGATTATGTTCAGAAGGATACTGTAAAACACATCATTTCATGTACTTAGAGTGTGAGAGAGCGAGAGCAGCAGTTTTTACAACACAACGAACCCTTCCTCATTCTTTGACAAATGTAATAAAACCATAATTAAAATTATTTCAGGTTGAAACACTTTTTTCCGGAGCCGAAAATTAAAGGGCCGATTTTTCATCAGAGACTTAAAAAGTTTCTTACCCAAATGTTTTCGGTCGTTCAAATGCGCTCTTCGAATCGGTTGCTTGGTCGGTTCATTGGCACACGGTGTGTCTTTAGTATTTCAGTGGATGGAAAATAAAAGAGGGTGGATTATTATATAGCGTCGTAGCTACTTTTCGGTTTTCTATTGCTCGTGTTGCGGGTATTTTGACATTCGAATGTGCGTGTGTGTCTCCTTCTGGTTCGAATCGTCTTGATGTGCACTTTTCGGTAATGTGAGAGTGTATCAAAAATTTATTATGGGTTTTCATATGTTTATGGAAATATGCATACCGTATCATTCGGCATCCGGGGTATTTCGGATCGAAAGGGTGACAATCGTATACAGGGGAACAGGTTTTTCTAAGACAATGGAAATTTGATACATCTCCAAATGGCATATTCCCTTCAAGAACATATCAAATTCGTTGCAAACACAGGAAAAACACAAAAATGTCTTGATAATTGCATACATTCGCTGAATATTTCATATCAAAATTAATTTTGCCATTCGAATCGTCGATGCATTCATGCAGAAAATATTTGAGGAATCAAATCAAACGGACGAAAGAGTGATATTCAATTTAACCCTTGTTTATGTGGCTCAGACTCAACGAAATTCGAAATGTGAATGTTCGAAATTCGCTAAAATATGCGTTTACGATTGCAAAATGCTTTTCGAATGGTATCAAGCGCGATTTGGATGAATGAGACTGTCTCATCTCAACCCCCTGTTTCACTAGCACAATATCAAATAACAATGATAATTTCTTTTTTTGGAGCCTGAAAGGAGGCATATGTTTAGATGAATTCAAAATGTGGACAAAGGACGTTGAAATATGTAGTAAAATGCGCAGTCTGTATAAATAGATAAAAGCGGTTGTTATGCCGCAGTCTCGATGCAGTTGTGCCATTTTAAAGGACTCGAATGAAAAATCTAAGTTCATGTTTTCACGAAAACAATAGAAGTGCAGCAAAACTGCATTCAAATCCATTCAAAATCGGCTTGTCTCGACCCGTCAAAAGGCTATACTATACGAACAGAATACTCACTTTCAAATCCATACATCACCCAACACAATGGTCGCCAGTGTTTAT